CTCACGCCACTCTATGCGCACGCGCCGTTTAAACACCATGTTTTGTAAAGAACTTCTTTTAACACTTGCTATTGCATCCGACCTACTTATAATTCCTGTAAGTGGGAAAGAGATGGAACTATCGGATGGGATACTACATAGGAGTACGAGACAAGTTTTATTGTGGCCCAATAGTACGTTACTACAGGTAAGTGAGCTTTAAAAAAAATAGATTTTAAACCGAATTTCAAACCAATATCCATCTCTTCGTCTACTACCATTAATTATTATAATAAAAGAAAATATTAAGGTACAGATATTGTAAAGCTAATCAGTACCATGTTGATAGAAATCCCCTTTTTTCGATAATCCAAACTTAATACCAATAAGAATTTTATCAATAAATTATCTAGTTCAATTAAATCAATGTTTTTGGTCTAAGCCTAACAATATCCCATTACGAGTTAGTTACTCATTCTTATCTTAAGCCTAAGAATTTTCCATTTTAGTGATTTCCATTATAGTGGATTTCAGGCTTACTGCGATAAGCTAAAGCTTTAGAGAATCCATTGATTTAGTACCTAACTCCTTATCGACTAATTGAAACCTAATAATTTGAACATTAATTCGATTCTGGAGTAAGACAACTTAAAAAAGTAAGACAACTTAAAAAAGTCAGCTCTTCAAAAAAAGTTAACAATTTAAAAAAAGTAATTTCGTTAAATCATTTTGAATTGTCTTCTACCAATTTAATCATTTTGAACTATATTCTAGTTGTTTTTATTTTAAGTTATGCAATTCTAGTGAAATATATTAATACTAGCTTCTGCCTGCGACTTTGTACGCGCAATCCCGTTTTCTCCCGTTCTCGTAGGATTTTCATGTTTTTTCTGTCTTAAGAACCTTTTCCTAATTATAACAAATACAACAAAAAAAAAAAGGAATTAGTGAAATCGGTTCAGCCATTCACGCTTGATACCGTGACCAAGGGAAAACGGGATTCATTTTTATATACCTCTATATTTCACAAGAAACTATTCAGTTTAAACTCGGTAATTTATTTTAATAAATAGCATTCACTTTAAATTTTCTATTGACATTCAAAAGTGCCTTCCTGGTCTAATTGAGTTTGACTTTGATTTTGAACCATTTAGTCTTAACTGTCGCAATGAAATACTAAAATACTGAAAAACATCAAAACATTTCAAGACACCAATACATCGTACAATAAATACTATTTCCGTCCCTTTTTTCTAAACATAAATGTTTACAGATTTACTAATTAATCCAGTGTCAGGCCAAAACGTATGTACATCAGCCATAAAAGTTGCAATTTAGTTAGAAAACGTAACCATTTTTAGATTTTAACACAGTGTACGAGATAGCTCCCTTTTATCGCAAAGGGGCTAGCTAACTCAGTTAAGGGTTCCCTTTAAAACGAAATATAGCAGCATAATTCAATCATGTGGTCCCGTTTAAAAAATAGACCTCTCGTTGGTGGTGAAGTGAGGGGGATGAAGTGGAATAAAGTTATGGATTGCATCTCTAATACAATATGGTCACTTCGTTTTAAAGTAAGGAATAGATTAATAGGTTTCAAAGACTGTCAATGGTTTTATGTCGTATTATTTCTTTAAGGATTGTCGTCGAGGATTGGGTCACGTGTTACTAATGGAGAAAAAATCGGGTATTATACATGGGACAATTTACTTTGTACAACATCATCAATAGATGAATTTCTAAGCACCACTTTGGAACAACTATTCGATAACCCAATCTATTACGCTACTGTCTGTTAGACCTACATAATATATCCCCATAACCATGTAATTTTTTTTAATCTAGTGTTTAGGACGTTCCACAATTTAAATGTGAGAGAGCCATGCTTCGGTACGAATATTCCGGCTCGACCGGAGTGATACCACGGCCTCACAGAAAACCGACGTGAAGCAACGCTTACGTTGTATTTCGTCGTGTGAGTGAGGTTACCGGAGGCCCAATTACCCTCCCTTTCCCCAATTTCCCCAATTCCTGAATCCCCAACGATCCTCAAACTCCTAATCCCCAAAAGGCCTGTAACGCCGGTAACAGCAGAGGCGTACAAGTGTCCATGGGCGACGCCTATTGCTTACCATCAGGTGATCCGTAGCTCGATCACCGGGTAATGCCATGGAAAAAAAATTACTGTCACGTTGCACTAAACTACCTAAAATTAATAAAAACCATTTGTTCACAGTTCAACGCCGGTTTCGGATTTCCGAGCGCAGCGAAGCACATAACGTGAACTATGCATTTCAAGCAAATTTCAACTGCCCTGGAATAGAACGCAGATACCTCTTGACATATTAGAAGCCAATTCTGGGTATGTTGGCACAGCTAGAAAGAAGAGAGAACTGGGGATAAAACACGACAGTAATGGGGATTATCAGGATGATGCGAAGTTGTACCACTTCTATAAACATGTTGAAGCTGTGTTAGATGGGTAAGTCTTATTAATATCAAGTAGATATGCATGGGTCTGGTCTGAATGTATAGTATGGGGTGCTGCAACCTTTCTAATCATTAGTAATTATTAAAATTATATTGATATTTTATCGAACTTAAAAGAACCTATCTGGATATTATTACATTCATGCAAAACAAGAGTATCGACTAATATTAATTATTATGTTTTCGGTTTACTCAAGTAATTATTTGATAAGGCACTCGACTAATTTCAAGCCATGCTAGAGGCTCATATTCATGAGCTACATTCCGCGACACACGGCGCGGCGATTGTCGCGCTGCTACCGAAAACATAATAATTAGTTGTGTATGTCTCACAAAAGTTATAATTTAAATCGGCTGATAAGATGAAAAGCAAAAGAATTACCTACATACGGAAGTCTAATCACACATGTCAGATTTTTTCAAATTCAGAATTGGTGTGCCTTCGCCCATACCAAACTGTAAAAGGTCGAATCATTTCTGTATTCTGTATGAAGCGTTTAGAATTCACTATTTATGCAATCCTAGTATTTTGGGCTCGCTGCCATTGCAGCGGTAAGTCCCCTCTTTGAGGAGTGGCTTGAGAGACGCTACGGCGTCCTCACCTACCGCCTGACGCAGGTCCTCACCGGACATGGAAGTTTCGGGAGGTACCTGTGTCTGATGGGCGGGAGGGAGGAAACGCCCGGGTGTCATCACTGCGAGGACCGCCCTGAGGACACGGTGGAACACACCGTAGCGGAATGCCCTGCGTGGGCTGAGCACCGCCGTGCCCTCAGGGAAGTGATCGGCGATGGCGACCTCTCGCGTCCGGGCCTAGTGCAGGCCATGATGCGGAGCGAGGGGGACTGGGATGCCGTCTCCTCCTTTTGCGAAGCAGTCATGCTAGCTAAGGAGGAGGCGGGACGCGTGAGGCAGCGAAGCGCTGCCTCCTCGCGACCCAGCCATCGCGAAGGACACACCGGGCGTCGGGGATCGCGGGACGATCTCCGGCCACCGTAAGCGCGGGCCTGCGGACGGCGAGCAAGGGTGGCTCCCCGTCCGACCAGAAACAGACCCGAGCGTACGGCGCGTCGCGTTCCGCGCGCGCCTCAAAGAGCCATCAGACCACCACAGATGGGGCCCAATAGGGCCGATGCCGATTCGGAGTCGCGGAGAACCTAACGGGTAACCGGGGCTCCGGCTCGACGTGCAGGAGAAGGAACGGGGTGGTTTTTAGTCAGTAAGAGTCTGACACTCCCTTCCGCCTCACCCAGGCGGGAGCAGTCATTCGATGATTTTCCCCCCTTAAAAAAAAAAAAAAAAAAAAAGTATTCAGGCTCAAAGGTTACCGGGGCTCCAGCTCGAAGTGCAGGACTAGAAACGGGGTGGTTATTAGTCAGTAAGAGTCTGACACTCCCTCCCGCCTCACCTAGGCGGGAGAAGCCATTCGATGATATTCCCCCTTAAAAAAAGTATTTAGCCTCAACCTAAAGTCATCATAGTTAATTAACTTATCGCAATTTTAAATTTTAAAGAATTCAATGTCATCTCCCAAATGCAACAAAAATAAAAAATTCTTAATTGCACTTCTTCATGCTTTATGCAAGCCTAGTACCTGAGTAAAATGTGTCCTAGTTAGTTACCAAGTTAATTACTACTTAACGTGTCTAGTCACCTGTGGTTAGCGTATAGTTACGAGTTAGCGACAACATGTACCCTACGTCCTTGCTTCAGTTTAGTGATAAAAGATAACATTGTAAAGGTTATCTTTAACTGCTTAAGTAGTTTGTTTAACCTTTATAGAAATTAGTGGTTTATTGTTATTTGCATGTAGGGTGGAGAAGGGTTGCTTTATAATTAGTAAGATAGAATTTGTAGCTTTTTAGTTTACGTGATCAGTAACATAACGTTACACATTTTTTTATTTATTAAGTAATTTTAATTCATTTGTATTGCGGAATGTATAATAAGACTCACTTACATACTTCATACATATATACATAACTTCACGCCCGCCTCCCATGGGGGAGGAATGCAGAGACTATGGAACGCCAATTACTACGGATTCCTATATACCTCTTTCGCTTCATCAACAGTCGTCAATCTTTTCATGCATGCTCGTCGGTTAAGGGTACTTTTAATTTGGCCCTTTTTTAATATATCAAGATGGTGGTCAAATGTCGACCTATAAAGTGTAAAAAAAATATCGCCAATCTGGTCACTATATGTCCGTGCATACGTCATATTTCCCGTGAACCGTGAGCAAACCTATACATATAATATCATTTACTATGCAAAATTATTATCAAAAATCGACTGACCACTTTGTTGTCGTGGGAATCCAATCACCCCTTACTTAGGAGTTAAATACACTGAAAACCATTGTTACCAATCAGTATAGATACTGTTTATCATAAAACTAATAATATTATTACTGCACAGAACTAATTCTCCGCTAAATCTTCTGTTAAAATGTTTGTATAAGGGTTTGGTTAACCGCGGTAGTTCAACATATTATACCCACATTATGTGAACATAGGATAAAACGATATATGAGGTTAGTTTTCAGTATAAGTATTGTTCACTTATTTTAGAGACGTTTCGTGAAATTATTAATTGCGAAACCCATAGAGTTTTAGAGAAATCTTTTTTATGTGGAACGTTTTTTTTTGTAAGTCTCATCTACCTACAGTTTATTTTTATGGCCATCTTTAAGCGTGGATAAAATATTTAGTTTATTTTACATTTCGTCTCTAGATTGAAGATCTGTTAAGACAATCAAGGAGAGTGTCTATACATTATAAAGTATTTTTTTTAAGGGGGTAAAATCATCGGCGGCGGAAGGGAGTGTCAGACTCTTACTGACTAAAAACTACCCCGTTCCTTCTCCTGCACGTCGAGCCGGAGCCCCGGTTACCCGTTAGGTTCTCCGCGACAAACATTATAAAGTATAGGATGTCTATAACCCAAAGTAACTAAAATAACCTAAAATAACTGGGTTTAAAATAAATCTCAATAGTAGCACGGAGTCTGGAATTGTGCCAGGTATATGACAACAGGCCCACCCCCTATTACATGGGACTCATAACATAAATAGTGAAAAGTGGGTGTTACATTGTACAGTGGCATTAAGTGCCGTAATGTGCACCTCTGCCTACCCCTTCGGGGATAAAAAGGCGTGGTGTTATGTTATGTAATAAGTGTAAGAATTCAAGTCTTCATCATCATATCAGCCCCAGCAGTGGACGTCTGAGACATAGGCCTCCCCAATGACCTAGCTAGGTGTTCCCTAAACTAGCTATGTGTTCGCTACTAAATCAACCTTTCTTAATTCGCATTACAAATGCATCCACATCCCCTTACAACGTAAATCCAAAATGGCGACCGAACCTTAATCCAGTTTGTCACCAATCACGGCTCTTTAAAGTGATTTCAATAGTGAAGCGAGTGTGAATCCTAATTCGTTTGGCAAGCCGCTAATCGCACTACTTATGCCTCGTTCAATTTGTTAGAAGAATTAGCACTCGCTCGACTTACTGTACTCAGATTTGTACTAATGAATTCTGACGTCATTAGGTCACGACTCCGATTGGCATTAGGACCTTATGTATGCTAATTTGTAAGATAAAAGGATTCTTGTTATCTCAATGACTTACAACTTTCACAAAAGGAAATATTTAGTTAGAGCCGGAACTAGACTAAACCAGTTTTTGTTTGTAGGTCATAAAATATATTTTGTATTTAAAAATAGTATGTAATACGGTAGCTGATAGGTAGTAAAATTCAATACTTTTCTATGAATTATGTATTGGATCGCAACTTATGACGTCATTATATTTCTGCATCATCATAGCATACTTATTTCCTTAAAATTAGCGAGAAAAAATCCAAACGTAGATAAATTGTCAAATCAATGGACGAGAGTACTATAATTATTTATTGCATTGAAAAGTTGAAACAATTTATTTTAAACCTAGGAAACTAGTCAATTGTCACAAATAAAATATCACATAACATCACGCCTTTTATCCCCGAAGGGGTAGGCAGAGATGCACATTTGTGGTGCATACACGGTTGTGGAATGCTCTACCGATTACAGTGAGGCGAGCTCAAACTATATCACAATTTAAAAAACTAGTTAAGGAATTTTATCTAACTCTATAGTTGTTTGTCTTTTACTTAACATGGTAACACACGTACACATACATGCATAAACGCACACACGCACACTTACACACCATTATGTTAAATTATGTATTATGTTCTATTTTATTCTTATTTATTTAGTTATTTATTTATTACAACTTTTAGTTTGATTTGTAGGTATATATTACATTTATGTAGGCATATAATATATATATTTATTTATTTATATATATATATATATTTTATATACATATTATGGTTTACACATTATTATTATTATTTTAAAGTCATTAAATTGTACACTAGACGACCCATATCTGTCTCCTATTACAGCTCCATCCAAAGGTTGTCTGGAAGAGATCGCCTTGTGCGATAAGACCGCCCATTGTGCACTATATCAATTGTTTGTTGTCCTTTATGTTTATGTGGTGTACAATAAAGAATATTATTATTATTATTATTATTATACCACTGTACAATGTAACACCCACTTTTACTATTTATGTTATGAGTCCCATGTAATAGGGGGTGAGCCTATTGCCATATACCGGGCACAATTCCAGACTCCGTGCTACTACTGAGAATATTTAAAAACCCAGTAATACTTTGCCCGACCCGGGAATCGAACCCGAGACCCCTTGCCCGGCAGTCGCACTTACGATCACTCGGCCAACGAGGCAGTCAAATAAAAATATAATGAAATAAAATATCATGAGTATACATAGAGGGATTTATGTTTTTCGAATACATTACGCTTCCACGCCTAAAGTACTGGCCCAATTTTAACCGTTCGCGGATAAAAGGCGTGATGTCATATATTTAGAAATATTAAAAGTAAAATACGTGAATAAATAAGTAATAGTGTTTACTAATGTCATAATTAAATAACAAATTGTAGCAAAACATGAAAAAATTTACAGTCATCCTAACTTAGGCATTTCTAAATTATATTTGACGTCAATATTTCTATTAGTAGTACAATCGATCGCAAAATTCTTTGATTATTTATGAAGTTTGCGTATTTTTTTTTGACTTGGTAATTTAAAATAAACTTCATAGCGTAGGTGATTATGATCATAATGAGTAATTTTAATGAGTATACTCTAAACAAAAGAAAAGGGCATTAATACTGATAGTATTTTGTTGAAATGAAATAAATAAATAATTACCTATCGGTTTCAACTCATCAAACTTCTAAATTAGTAACGACTTATCTTGAATGAAAACCGTCAGTGCAAACATTAAGTACTTAACCAAAAAATATACAGGTATTGTGGCGGCAGTAACCGATATTTTATCAATATTTAGGAAATTTCTTTATTTTCCTTTTTTATTTCATGGTCTCGATGCAAACATTTTTGTACGTAACTGTATTGTAAAGTACTTAGGTGATAAGTTAGCAAATAAATCTTGCAATTTGAAGAAGGTGATAAATGATAATTTAGCTTTTTTTACTATATCCGCCTTCACTAACCTTTCTTTAATACCTCATTTTCACTGTTCCATTCATAAATTAAGCAAAATTCATTAACTGTTCAATCCCAAGCGGTCACCGGTGACCGTTCTCCATTAACTCCATTATAGACCTTATTTCCAATGTTTAGAGACTACTTTTGTATGAATAAATTTTGGGGTCAACGTATTAATTGATGTTACGCCATCATCATCAACAGCTTCATATTTTTTAATGACAACCCTAGTAACTATAGGTGCTCTACAATTCTAGATAACTACAACCAACTTAACGGTTCAGAAGTTTGACCAGCTTTAAGGTCAATGACTTTACAACTATTTACATAAAATCATTACAAATTGTAGCCTATATGTTATTCTGATGTATTAACTACATTACTGTGAAGTTTCATCTAAATCTGATCAGTAGTTTTTGCGTAAAACAGTAACAAAGTTATACATACATACACACACACACACACACACACACTCACATACCTACATCCTCACAATCTTTCGTATTTATAATATCAGTAGGATTAGTAGGAAGTAGAATCGCGCTGAAGAAAGTACTCATCTCCAGAAACGTACAAGAAGAAAGCTGGAACATGACTTCTCGTCATCGTGATCGCTACTTATGTACCTATCGAAGTACAAATCAACCTTAACTAAAGTGTTAACCTTAACTAGAGGTAATATTAAGGTTATATCTGACTTTATATAAAAACTTTTGTGAGTCATACTAAATCAATTATTATGTTCCCGGCTTACTCACGTAACTGTTTGACGAGGAACTCGACTAGTTTCAAGCCATGCTAGAGGCTCATACTCACTAGTCGAGTTCCTCGTCAAACACTTACGTGAGTAAGCCGGAAACATAATTATTAATTTATATCTAACTTGCATAAAACTCTCTTAATCTTCGAGATATTGTGTATGAGAATTTTGGAAAGACAAAAATAACTCTATACTTCGAAAATGTCGCGGAGAACCTAACGGGTAACCGGGGCTCCGGCTCGACGTGCAGGAGAAGGAACGGGGTGGTTTTTAGTCAGTAAGAGTCTGACACTCCCTTCCGCCTCACCCAGGCGGGAGCAGTCATTCGATGATTTTCCACCCTTAAAAAAAAAAAAAATACTTCGAAAATAAGATATAAAGTAAGTCACGACTTTAATGACGTCACGCATCGTACGCCTGTTTATTCACGGATAACCGATAGGCAGGCCAAGATATGGAAACCATGATTTATTTCTCACCGACACTTGGTTGCTTTCGGAAGCAATTTTCACAAAAATTGCTTTCGTCAATACCAATTTTGTGAATGTCAAAATTTGTTATTTATTACTGTTTACTGGCGCGGCCCTGTTTTAATAAACAACGCGTATATTTATTTTGATCGTTGGTATATTTTAATATGTTAGTAGCGAGGGCGATTGTGAATTTGAAAACTGATTGAACAAGACGCTTAGTTTGGTTTGATAGCTTAGTTTGGGTAATCGTATAAATATATAGATATAAACCGTGCTATTAGCCATCGGCATGATAGTATTTTTTATAATACCTTTTTTAATTATTAGGGTCCAATTTAAATAGGACATTTGAGTTGATTATCGAGTTAGTACTGTGAAAAGAGAAAACGCCAAATGCATTTAGTCAAATCCTAAACAGACAAGATTTTATGTTCAATTCTTATTTTCTTCGCTCTATTTTTCCAGATTCGGTCATAATGGAAAGTCCTGTGTTCTGCAAACGTTGTGTCAACTCGGAGCCGAACCTTTACACTCTGATGACGAAGAAGATCTCCTGCATGAAATGGCAACATTTGTGTTAAAGTAAGTATTTGTCATTTAAATATCGTGCGTGGCAATTTTATAATATTTGTTATATAATCCTTCTTGACATTAAAAATAAAATACTATAAATATCTAAAACTACGGATTGACTCCTTGGTTCAGATGTCATGGCTGCTGAACAACAAAATTCAGAGTCTGATTTAGAAATGGGTCGGGTAAAGTATTATGATGAGGTTTCGTAATTTTTTTATTGCCTGAGACATGAAATTTATTAGACCAAAGGTGGGGAAAGTGGTGCTCATTTAATACCACTCCTATTAATACCACTTCTATTTACCACTTACGGGGAACAAAAGGCGTTGTTACGAATACTACACGAAACCAATGCCAAAGTCACGAACTCCACTATTTCACCATATTGTGAAGGGCACGGGTCAATGACCGGTTCAGTGCCGCATTCCCTTCAAAGTGACATTATGTCACGCGTTGACAAGTTGAACCACTAGGCACCATTAGCAGTTTGAACTTGTCGATTGGATGAGTACACACTTGATGTGGCACGACAACTCTTTGCGCTACTACTTACGTCAAGTTCGTGTAACAAGATTGGATGTATCTTGTAGTTAGTCCAAATGTAATGTAGATCAATATTGGTGCATGGACAGGGCGGTTCGTTTCGTGTGTTTGAAACTCTAAATTCATGCTTCCATCGGCAAGTACCAATGTGACTTTTTCCGAGTTATATGTACTTTCTAAGATTATTTAGACACCACTGATAAACGGTAAAGGAAAACATCGTAAAGAAACCTGGACTTATAATTTCTGCTTATAAGTTTGAAATCACTAACCCGCAATGCGCAAGCGTGGTGATTAATTCTCAGTGTAAGAAGACGATTTGTTCAGCAGTGGACACTTATAGGCTGCTGATGATGATGATGATGAAAAAAATTTTAAACAAATAAATTAAGATTTTCTTGAATCGCCTCCTTTCTCTCCAACTCAGAAGTATGAAAATAAACCAAACAATAAAAGTACATGTTTAACTACTTAAGAAATGAACTTTGATTGATGATGATGGTTTTCGGAATTTAACCCATCGTGTGCTTAAACGCGGATCCACGCGAGACTATGTATTTTCTATTGTGTCTTATATTGGTGCATTCAATCGATTAAAGGAGATCGAATATATTCATGCGTATAATACGTATATACGTAGTCGTGGACCAAAAGCTACTAGGTATAACACCACAACCAACCTCTTTCATAAACTTTATATTTGTCTACCAGTATCCGACTGCACGATTGGTGCGGTGGCTGGGCAACTGGCTGCCGCGCAACGTGTCGCGGGTTCGATTCGCGCACAGAACAACTCCTTGTCTCATCCACAGATTGTTGTTCCGGGTCTGGGCGTCATGTGTGTGTGAACTTATATGTTTGTTAACGAACCCACGACACAGGAGAAAAAAGGACAACAAAGAAAAAAAGTATTTAGAATAATCTTCTATACCTGACTTTATTATGATGTAACAATAATTCTAATCTATTTAATTTCAATTTACAGTCCCAAAAACGACGGCATTCACCACCTGACGGAAAGCGATGACACATACCCTTACATCAAGGCGTATACAGATGGAGAGAACCAGGTAGACTGCTCCAAGCTATATCATGGCTGTTCACTATCCTTCATAGATGTATTCACGAAACTACACGATCAAGCTTAATTGGGAATAAAGACTGTATTTTTTTTATTTTGAATAATTCGTTTTCTATATACTTTTTATATCATAATACTAGCTACACTCGCGCGATTTTACCATTTGCTTGGCCCATAACGGCGTGATATTACCGTATGACGGCTACGCAGTGGCTACGCAAACGTAGCACGACGTAAATTGGCTACGAAGTTACTACGCAAGCGTAGCACTTTGTAAATAAAACATTTTTTTATTATTTTTGTTTTTTTATTTCCTTATTTACACTATTCATAGTTGTTTTATTTACATGATTAAATAACGATGAGCTCTATAGGTAAGATAATAAATTTCGAAACAATGAAATTCTATTCATAAGTTAAAAAAACCAGTGCTGTGTGGTAAAATGTGTTAGAATTTAAATGAGTGTTAAAATATGTATTTTGTGGGCACACCAAAAAAAAATATTTTCTTTAATTGTACAGAAATATACAAGCTACATTCTGCATCTGACCACTCCACATTAATGTAAGTTTACCATCTGAAAGGAGCGCAAATGAACATAACGTATGATTGCTAGACCGTGCTGTCAGGCGTCATTACAAGTTTATTAGTTTTTACTTCAATTTTTACTATAGAAATTTATAATATTCTTATGCAAATTCTCTGAATCGATAGTTCTTAGTTATCGACGGTAACTTTTAGAAGTAACGTAAAAATTACGTATGTAAAAATTACCTGACTGCCTCGTTGGTCGAGTGGTTGCAAGTGCGACTACCAGGCAAGGGGTCTCGGGTTCGATTCCCGGGTCGGGCAAAATATTACTGGGCTTTAAAAAAATCTCACTAGTAGGACGGAGTCTGAAATTGTGCCCGGTATATGGCAATTGGCGCACCCCTATTACATGGGACTCGTAACATAAATAGTGATAAGTGGGTGTTACCATTGTAACATCCACTTTTTTTCACTGTACAATTACAGTAGCATTAAGTGCCGTAATGTGCACCGCTGCCTACCCCTTGGGCGATAAAAAGGCGTAATGTTATGTTATGTAAAAATTACCATCTCAATTGTATGTATTAAGATCGATTATTTCGCCGCTTTCCTATGAAAATAGAGGTTTTAAGTTTATTACCCAAATTAAATAAATGAAAACCAAACAAAGTTATTGAGCTTCTTATGCCGGAATACTGAAACGGTACTCAATTTTAAGTCGTGCTTAAATATCGCGCCATCTCTGTCATTTTACAAAGAATTTGTAGAGACAGAACTATACTTAAGCGCGACTTAAAATTGAGTAGCGTTTGAGTAGTCCGACATTAGCTTCTAAATTCACAGTTTTAACGTGACCTATAATGTCTATTCACATTAAACTTTTTAGTCGGGGAACAAAAATGTAACCGTATTCATACTCATAAAAGAACACTGGTATACAGGGTGTGCTTTTATGCTGTTTTCGGAAACAGCTCATGAATCATCTACAAAATAGAATGCATTATCTCTATCTCATCCCACGCTTACACTGCTCGCAAAGTCAACTTAGAGTGGTTTATAATAAGGTCTATTATCTTTTTTCTATTTTTATATCATTTTCATCTTAATTTTTATCTTAAAAATAGAACATTTTTCACGTGTTTTAATACGTGTGTAGTATGATCTGGATTTAAATCATAATTGAATAGATAAATATCAAAACTTGGTTTTTAATTTACCAGTGAATATTGGCTATTAAGTTTCTACTACTACATTTTTCGTCCTGACAAGATGAAATACAAAGTAAAAGGAATTATCCAATGAGGTGTAGTCGTTTGGGAGTTACGCACGTACAAATATTGTGTTTAAACAATTAATTTTCCTTCGTACTGAAAATTATATAAATTAATTTATATATAATTTCTTCGTACTGAAAATTATATAAATTAATTTATATATAATTTTCAGTACGAAAGTTTAAACTATAAAAGAAAATAACATCAAAAGTTTAATTAACCATAAACACTAGTTGACTAAATCTGAAAACAATAATATAATTCATACAACCATAGTTTTAAACAAAATGTAACTTTATTGTAACGAAATAAAACACAAATTACTCTAAATTTTATTTCGAAAATAATTTAAAATCACTATCTATTACATTAAAACGATATTCCAACTGTCAAGAAGATTATTTTAGTCGACATTTGGAAGTATCACGTATACATAATATTCGATGCATTTTATAAATGTGATCACACTTACGTCTGCCATAGTATATTTTATGTACAAAAAATGTAAACGTAATTAATATTTAGCATTTCTCTTTGTGAAATTACACTTTACCACAAAAGTGACTAATGACCGGTCTTCAACGTATCTCTATGTATAGTTTTCCAGAATTTTGTGTTGAGACATTTCGTAAGTAAATTAGGATAACAAGACAGTAAATTAACATAACATCACGCCTTTTTATCCCCGAAGGGGTAGGCAGAAGTGCACATTTCGGCACTTAATGCCACTGTACAATGTAACACCCACTTTTCACTATTTATGTTATGAGTCCCATGTAATAGGGGGTGAGCCTATTGCCATATACCGGGCACATTTTTCCAGACTCCGTGCTACTACTGAGATTTTTAAAAACCCAGTAATACTTTGCCCGACCCGGGAATCGAACCCGAGACCCCTTGCCCGGCAGTCGCACTTGCGACCACTCGGCCAATGAGGCAGCTTTTAAAATATATTCCAGATATGTCGTGTCGTGTTGACTCGGAGGTTTATGCATTCGGGTGCGGGTTCAAAACCTACCAACGGCAAGTACCAATGTGACTCTTTCCGAGTTATATGTACTTTCTAAGATTATTCAGACACCACTGACAAACGGTGAAGGAAAACATCGTAAGGGAACCTCGGCTTATAATTTCATATTATAAGTTTGATATCGCCAACCCACTTTGAGCAAGCTTGATGATTAACTCTTTGAGTACCGTCATTATAGACACAATTAAAGAACAATAGGTTGCGGTAACCGGTGACCGCGCGGTGTTTGACAGTTTAATGCTCAAACCTTCTCCGTTTAAGAAGAGGCTTTGCTCAGCAGTGGGCTTTTATAGGCTGTTGATGTGTGATGTAACATTCCAGATGCATCTTTAAAAAATTGATATGTCTGAGGGATAATTTTAAATAAAAATTTCACACACAACTCACAGCTTATGAAAGGAATTAAAAACAAGATTATGTGTGTTTCTTTTTGTTTTAGTAATTGCTGATTTGTAATGAGCTTCGTAATAAATAGTCGATAAAAAATCATCCCTCAGCATCAAAACACTTTAAAGTTTACCTAAAACACTTCTACACCTGTCTACTCTTAAAAACAGTTCTATAGTATTACAGGAAGCCAAATCTATGCAATGTCCTCTCCTATCTGTGTAAAGGTTTCTAGAATGGAACCTTCACATTCCGGGAAGAGATCCTCACAATTGACTCCCGTCTCTCTGCCCAGCCTCTCAGCTGCATGATATTCATTATCTGTGTGATGAGACAATGTGTCCTTCGTTGTAGATGGCCTGGAATCGACAAGAACTTTATTTAAAAAATATTAATAACATTTCGGCTTTTACAATCTCTTAACTAAAGTTTCTTAGCATCTAAACTAACCCTTAATTCTAGTATTAGGTGTCACTTATAAATAGGTTGGTGAAAACAAATTGTCGTTAAACGTCTCCTATATTAGCTAAGGGGCCCCGGTACCGGTATTGCAGACAATTAGAAAGCTCTTTATTTAATAAAGCTTTATGATTAATGAAAACATTATCTTAATCTTTATCATTGTAATACATATAACATAACATCACGCCTTTTATCCTGAAGAGGTAGGCAGTACACATACGACACTAAATGCCACTGTAAAATGTAACACCCATTTTTCAGTATTAATGTTACGAGTCCATGTAATAAGCCTATTGCCATATACAATTCCAGACTCTGTGCTACTACTGAGATTTTTATTTAATCCCGTAATACTTTGCCCGACTCGGGAATCGAACCCGAGCCCCTTGCCCGGCAGTCGCACTTACGACACCGGCCAACAAAGCAGTATTATAGTAATAAATAAAAGTCAAACAAGAAATGAGAACAAAACAACATTTAAAAAAGAAAATCTTAATACGAAACCATAAAACATGAAAGATTAAAAAATAAAATCGCTGACTTAACGCGGGACCACCTCATTTGCACACCCTTCAAATAAAAATACCCGAACAACGTCGGATTAAACGATTTTCCTTAACCAAAGAGCTCCAATCTTAACCCGTCAACTGCCAAACGAATGAATGATATATCATTCATAAATAAGGCAGTACCAAAATCCTTTCATAACGTTAGTGACTTACGTGAATAGAATATGTCCAATTTCGCCGAGCAAACCGTTTTCATGGGTGAATGGTACCTCTGCAGCCTCGCAGATTGTTCGAAGCAAGCACGGCCGGCCTGAATACCCGTACCTGAAGTTTCAATGGGCAACCTTAATAAAATATTATACCTTCCTAGCGATTCTTGTTAACTCTTTATAAAGACTTCAACTAAATGATGTTTTGATTTAAGTTTTATTTTTCAGATTATAGGATTCTTTTTACTTTTTTTCTTTTTCGTTTGTTTGTTTGTGAGCCAGCTAAGCTGGTTACTTTAGAGTTTTGGTTTGCTGTTTTCGAAGTTTAATCTTTATGCTTTGATGTAGTTTCTGCTCTTATTTTGAAATTAGTGGGAAATAAAATGTAAACTCACAAAAACAAGTCTTGTATTGTCGAAATATTGTTCATTTTTACCTTTCAACCATCCGTTCTATAACTTTGTAGAAGTCCCATCGATTCATTCTTTGTGGCTCCTCTTCTTCTTCCAAAGCGTTCTGATCAATCATTTCTTGCTTTCTAATCGCTTCTTCTAAAGACAAATCATTACTAGCAGTACTACTGTCAGTGATTAGGACAGCATTCTCAGAATAAACGAGGGACCTCTTTCGTCTATCATCAAAAGTGAGATCGACTAACGTATCGTTGTCTCCCTCGGGTTCCTCTGTTACAAGATCTTCTGTCTCATCTATTTGTCTTGACTCGTCTGAATCTATTTCATTTGAAACGTCTTTTGTTGGATTGTCTCCGTTCATGTCCCTCGAGACTGTTTCAGCGAAACCGTAGATCCTACTTGTGTATTCAGTACTGTTTGTAGGCAAATCATATTGGAACTTTATTACTGTACCGACGGTAACTGACTGCTCTTTCAGGTCCACTGGCACACCGAGACCGATGATGAACTGGAATTTGGAGAAAGTTGGACCGAATTAGGACCAATTTAAGCTAATGTAGGTCAGGTCGAGTCACTGATACAGCGGTCACGACATCTGTGGTGGACTATTAAAAATACACGAGTCAAAAAGTTTGTAAGTAGTTCTAGGACTTTTTATTCTTATTTAAATGTGTGAAGTGTTAATTTTATTTTTTCACACAATTCATTATATCTGCAAACGAACTTTGGACATATGAAAATAGGTTATCGAACCTATAATTTTCAAGATTTTTACAGATGTCTAAGTGGCTATCACTGAAAAAATTGACTTACTATGAAATATAAAGTTTGTATTTGTATTTGAACTAAAACCTACCCTCACTAAATAATTAATAAATCTGTAATATAAAATTATACAGGGCTTCCTAGACTGAATATTTAAATTCCTTTATAATAATACAAAAAATTACTGTTTGTACATCAATATTAAAATTACTTCAATAAAATGTTTAGACTACAATTATAAAGCTGAACATTAAATAACAGACCAAACGGCCGAATAATAGAAATAAATTAAAAACAAAACTCTCATGGTACACTTCAAAAGGCAGACAGAAGCTTAATTGCATTTAAATTCACGAACAAAAAAGACACTGCTTCGTTAAGCCCTATCCGTTGTGCAAAGAAAACATCATTTACTTAAGTTAAATCAGGTACGCTATGTAAATTTACATGGATTTGTTCTAATAAGACAGGGGGAAATACCTGTGCTCTGGCTGGGCCACCGTCTGGGTACACGAGGTACCGCCTCTGCCTTCCCGCGTCCGCCCCAAACAGCGAAAGCAAATTGAACAAAATTAAAGCAAGCAACATCGTAGTATTTCGTTTTAACGTCGATTCTGAGCGCACCGGCGCCGACGGAGTGTAAATACTGTATAAGATAAAATGTTAGAATGTTTACACAGAGCCTACGGCGATGTCTGACTAATGAACCGTTATGTTTTCCGAGTGCTCTGGCCTGTACCGAACGGCACAGATGCTTGCCAACGCCGAGCCGAGGTTAAAACTTACATGCCTCCGTTTAACAAAACATTACACATTACGACCCCATTCTATGAGTGTATACACACTATATTTTGATACTGAAATGAGTCTACATGAAGCATAGATTTTTAGAGCATACTCATTTCACGGAAATGCCTACTTTACACATGGTTTGTGAGGCTTTACATGGAAGCACCGAAAAATGAAAGCTTCAGATAAAATTGTTAGAAAGGTTTTATATCAAAATATTTTGCACATAGTTCTACACATTTGATTTTATATTAATATTGAATCTCGATCACAGTGAGGTAAAACACGTTCAAAGATATCAATTTTACAGTTAAAAGTCTTACTAAACGTTTAACAAAATAATGAATTTTAATGAATTATCTACAAGAAAATCGTACAACTAAAATAAGTCACCACAAAGTTACTTAGTAAAACCAACCCTAGAACACAATAGAACAATAACAACGCGCCGACGCGACGTTCAGCATTAGAAATTTTCTCCTCATTTTTATAAGTTGCCACAACCGCGTGCATTTCTCTTGCAAACATTTACCTTTGCTATGCGCAGTAGTACGGGGTCCATAGAACCGCATCAAAGTTAGGTCTGTTGTACACTGCGCCGACCAATTTATTGAAATGAAGGGTTAAAATGGGATTCTGCGGTTATACACCACCGCTGCAATATGTGAACAGATATTTTTCTTCTTTATGCGTGTTCGTACGCGTATTTTGTTATGAAAAAGAGCCTTTTTAATGCGAAATCATGGTTTTCATTTTATGTGATATTATGTGCGTTGTTAATTGTCATTAAGGTTTTGGAAGCAAGGACTTGGGTTTTAATGTATATACTAGTTAAGGTCTAGGTAATAGGGATGATGACAGGGTATGAATAAAAATGTAATTAGTCCGTCAGTTAGGTAAAGGTATTTTTTCTTTTTTTTTTTTTTTTTTTTTCTTCTTTGGCAACTGAGTCTCCAAAATGGTGTTGTCGACTATACTGCCAGTGTCGAGTGGTGACGGCAAAATTATTGGACCGTCGAACTTAACTTTGCGGTAGTTTTTAGTTGTTAGTAGCTGAAAGGACAAAACAATTGGGTTAGTAAAACATAAACATTATCAACTATTTTACTGTATATATACAGTGGTGTAAAAAATAGTTGGGGGACATACACAATATAGACAGATATTAATATACATCATTGGACACCGTCACATTTTGATCTCATTTTCATTCATAAATTTACATATATAAATAATTACTTTGTGGGATTTTTTTCATTTTGTCGTAGGTATAAGAAGACAATACTTAGATAAAACGAATCAAAGTTTAGGAGTGGGAGGTAGCTATGTTATTTTAGAGTATAAACCGTACTCAAAAGTGACGTCATGCGATATATCAAATCAATATATCTTCGAAACTATTCGTTTCCGTAAGAAAATAAAAAATACGTGTCTAATGTTTTTAAATAATCTACCAGACGGGCATTAAAATAAAACTTAGTCATCTACCCTATTATCCATTTCCTCTAACATGTACGTAATATGTTATTCCATGGATCTAGCTATTATACGAGTACAAACTATTATAAGGATTAATTAAATTATAGTAGACATCAGATGAGTCTTCATCGTCATCACCCTGTAACTGCAGTAAAAGGACAATGGATGCAAAAACTCAAGGCAGGCTGTAAATTAATTAATATAAATGTAAAAACTAAAATCATATCATTTAGCGTCCCATTATGTATACCTACTGCAATGGGAGACAGGCGTGACGATATGTAGGTACATAACTTAGATATGTACGTAAAATTTCCCTTTTCGAAATAATTTTTCAAAGCAACAATCGGATGTAATATTTCATCCGCACCTACATGGTGCCTACATTTCGGTTCTATCTAATTTCCCTACCAAATTATTATACACCTCAGTCGAATTTGAATTTCATGAGTTATGTTCGCTGTAATTAAATTAATTCTGATTTTTCTCGTCCTTAAAACGAGACAAGCAGATTGTAAAACAATCTGTTTAATTAGGACATCTTTGGTGATATAATTACGGTTTGTTGAGTACCTCTCTTTTCTTTGATTTTCTCTTTTTGTTTCATGTCTCTTTTGAATTTCGAAGTCTCGTTTTGTTTTAATTATCCTTATTTGTGATTTCGTTTTTACAAATCTGTGTTAAGAAATTGATTGCCAATGAAGTTTCTTGACAGACTTTAGGAGCCTTAGTGATTTTTTTTAATTTTGACCAGTATTACATTTTTCTACATTAAGTACTTCATAACATATACTATGAAACCCATGTATAATATTAACGAAGATTATAACATAGCCATACAAATTAACAATTCTTTTTTCACAGTGCATGTCGAAAGGTGAGCTACTATGATTCCTTCATACATTCAAACATAGTTAGAATTTTATTGTTTGTAATGAACAAATACAATGTCCACTAAGTATTTATTTTAAATCACAAACTGTTGAACAATATAAACCGTTTAGTAACAACCCTATCGATACCACACTAAACATTTGAACAGGGTGTCCCAAACTTGAGAAATACTCCGATAACTATCACTCGAAACTATGTAACCGTTGAATCATTGAGCGAGTTCCCTCAAAGGCTTGTATCACAAGATTTTCCACTTAATTAATCGCCAGTAATTACGTATAAATTGAAGAAACAACAAGTTTTATTTAAGAGACAACCCTTCAATTCCCTTCAGTAAATCTTTGTAATTTGAAACTCGATTTACGAAATGTGGTTTAAAGTACTTTAATATTAATGGGATCTTGCTGAACGCGATTTGCAATATCCGGAGTTTAAATAACACCCTCTATATTGTTTCCGTAGATGTAAGGGACTAATCAATTTCATAGGATAATAAATTATAACTTTATGCTGTGACGTAAAATTTCCACGAAGATGTAATTTTCTTTTATAATAGGAAATTAGAATATTAATTCCATTTTGTCATATGAATTTATTAAGTTGTTTCTATTATTAAAAATGTTTCTCAATTATTATTTAATCAACTAGCTATTGATGTACATGTTTATTTATAAGTTTGATTTTAATTGAGAAATTTTACCGGATACATTTAAGTGTGCGAAGGAATTTTACAACTTGAGTCTTGTGCATCATCGTATCACAAGACAATCGGCGTAGCGTCATCGATTCATGGTGGATGTCCCACCCACTCGCACGAAGCGCTTCGCTTCAAGTTTCCCTATGCGTACTGCTAAGGAGTGAAATTCAGTGCCAGAGTCTACGCTTCCTGAAGGGTATATATAACCTGGGTGACTTAAAGGTCCAAGTAACTAGGTTGCTTATGGGCAGACGTACTCCATCGTAGGCGGCATCATCGCATACCACCAGGCGAGATAGCTTTGGAAACGTCGACCCATTATATAGTCCCGTCGAATATTTCTTTACCACGTGGTTTACTTGATATTTAAAAACGGTCAATTTATTCAAAGGGCAATGACCTGAAAACTATTCACAATATCCCATAGTAAAGTACTTATATACGAGTCGTGTTTTTGTATTTACTCAAATTAAGAGAAGACGTACACCAAATTACTTCAGTAAATACAAAAAGGTAGTCTGTCGTGTGACAGGTCCCCAACGACTGGTTGTATTTCTGTGAAATTAATAATACTGAAAAAAAAAGATTATATCTCGAAAAAATATATGAAAATGTTGATCGGCTGTTATATTTTTGTGTATGTGATTTTTTAAATTTATTGAGTGTAATTTTTTAATAAAATGTCATGTCATAAATGCAACTTCGTTTAAGGTTATATCAATGTAACATTTAATTTACATTGGAGAACATTTTGATACGTTTTTGGAGTTTGAAATTCCAATATAAACTTTGTGTGTAAGGCATATAGTACAGAATAACAACAGTGTTGTATAATATAAAAGGCAGTGTAAGAAAAACAAGTAAATAAATTGTTAACACGTGTTTATTTATTCCAGGAGCATTGTGTTATTAAGTGTTATTTGTGAAGAAACTGTCACAAAGAAGAGGCAGCGAAGATATTTACTGTTCACACCAAGCACACAGTGGGGTGTGAGTATTATTAAATATTATCATCATAGCATCACGGCTTTTATCCCCGAAGGGGTAGACAGAGGTGCACATTTACGGCACTTAATGCTATTGTACAATGTAACACCCACTTTTCACTATCTATGTTATTAGTCTATGTAATAGGGGGTGAGCCTATTGCCATATTCCGGGCACATTTTCAGACTCCGTGCTACGACTGATTTAAATAGTTTGCTCGAACCGGGATTCGAACCCGAATCCTTTGCCCGGCAGTCGCACTTATGACCACTCCACCAATGAGGCAGTCCTTGTATATTAAGATTTATTATTTACTTATTACTTTTTTATCATTATCTGGTTACGTACCTCTATAGGCATTGGCCACGTGCACAAAGTGTTCACGAATTGAAGACCATGAAAATCATTAAGTTTTTTACCGACTTTCACAGAAGAACATTTTCAGTTGGACCTGTTACTATGTAACTATCGGGGTATGTTTGTCCGTGATTATTTCGCAATAGAGTGAAGCGATTTTACCTCGTTTTTCATAAAATTGTTACTATACTTAGGAGCGGGTCTTAGTATATTAAACTGTCAAACAAACCGCGAGGACACCGGTGACCGCAACCTATTGTTCTTTACATGCACACTTTACATACATACAAGCATGGTTTACATAGCAGGTTATATAAAATCATTCAATGAGAAATTAATTTAAGTTGATATTTGAATAGAATTTTTATTGCGGCTAAGTTTATCA